GCTCTCCGGGTCCCATCTCAGTGGTCAGCACCCACAGGAGAAGCACAGCCCTTGGAGGTCATCTTACTCCACAGGGCTCCCCAAGGGGCAGAGGCCCTCCGAGGATGCCCCCCACCCCTCCGGCTCAGACATGGTCCCATTCCTCGTGTATATCTTATATTTTCCAAAACCACACAATCTGAAGTTTTAAAAACTTGAGGCCAAGAAAAATCAAGTCAGGCCAGTGATGCTTCTAGCCTGTACCAGGCCCACGCCCATGAGCCTGTGGGTTTTAGGCAACTCTGAATATGAAGTGAACGCAGCCTCACACACGTCCTTGCAAACATTAAGTATGAAGGATCACAGGATGCCATGAGGGAGCGTCAGAAAGTTGGTGAACACAATTAAAAGATAACGTTCCAGGAACTTTCTGAAGAGCCCGGGTACTCCAACGACTTGGCCCCTCCTTCCTTTCTCCTGAACTCCCCCCTCCCCGCTCCACTTCAGCTCCGGGACCCACGAGGGGCAGTGGGCACCCTAAGTTGCAGGTACACTGACCTGTGGCCACAAGGCATCTTCTCTTAGGCCTGGTCATTTTTCACCAGTTTTCAGAAGGCCTTTCATCCAACGGCCACTCAGATCCCAAAATGTGGATTCAGGAAGCCGTTTCCCTTGGATACTTCCATTCTCAACACTGCACTGTCTACTAAACAGGCTAGCTGGTGATATGCCCAAAGAAAGTCTACTACAGAGTGCTCTGGTGGCCCTGTAGGTCAGGCACCGGGCTGCCAGCCACTAGGCGAGCCGCTGGACCCATCAGCCGCTCAGTAGGAGAAAGAGGCGGCGCGTCTGCCACCGTCCAGATGTAGTCTCGGAAGCCCTATGGACCAGTCAGGGCTGGTTCCAGGGAGGGGGTGAGTTTTTCGGGGTGGGGTGGGTGGGCAAGCTGGTCCTCAGTTGCACTGTGGGGGGCACTGCCAAGGGATGACCTGCCTCCCGAGCGCAGGGCAGAGTTAAAACCCACGGAGGTACTGCGTGTGGTCACAATGGTTTCTTCAAGATCTTTGATAGCTAATGTCCACATCTGAAGGAATAACCGGCGAGTTTTCATTGACAAGGTGAGAGCAGTAACTACATTTCCTGCCAAAAACTTACCTGAGTTTTAAAATCTCCTGTCCAAGGAATGATTCATATTAGTGATAATGCCTCTACACTGGATTACAAACTGGAAGCTACGATGCCAATTAGCTGAGTTCGATTTTCAGCTGTAATCCCGACACTGATCATGCCCGGGTGGGGGTGGGGTGGGGGTTGACCAAGTGTGGGGTCATAACCTTAAGCCAGGAGGCAGGGCTAGGAGAGCCTGTTAGTCTCCCTAGCTCTGCTTTCTAATGGCCCTGGGGCACTTCCACAGTCATCTTCTCTCTCTCTCTCTCTCTCTCTGGCTCGCTTCTCATGGAACACACAGACTGGCTGCTTGTGCTGAGTCAGAGAGCCTGCGGGCCAGGCCGAGGAGCACTCCCGTGGCTGTCGGTCACCACCCTCCTCCTCTCGCAGAGGGGGAGCCCATCTGACGGTGAAGCTGTGACTGCTGGGGGGAGAGGTGGCGAGGGCCCGCCCAGGAGGAGGGAGAAGAGAAATCAGGGACTGGGGAGAGGGGTAATGCAGAGTTGATGGTCTGAAATATAAACCCCCAACTAATAATTCACAATAAAAAAATGCCATTATGGCCCAAAGATGTACCCATTACAGAGATGCCAAAATGCATCTTTTGTCCAACAAATCCTTCCTGGTCATCCTGAGGAACAAGGAAAAGTTTCTTCCTAACAAAAGACTGCTTCTGTGGCCTCTGACCCCTCATTCCTTCAGCTCTCTGCAGCCAGTAGGAAACCACAGGGGACGGGAGGGACTGCAGCCCAGGGCAGTCTGTGGGCGGGCGCTACTTCCTGGACCTGCAGGGTGCTACTCTGTCGCCTTGGCTCTGTGGCTCAGCAATAGTAGTGACCACAGATCTCTGCAGGCCTTCACAGTGCAAAGGCCTTAAAAAGAACTTGCTCGCACCAGCACTGAAACACAGGACACAACGACGGTGACACCACACCAGAGGGACCCTGTGTGGGCATGGGCAGGACAGCTCAGGGAGCAAGTAGAGCAGCGGTTCTCAACCTGTGGGTCATGACCCTTTTAGGGGTCAAACGACCCTTTCACAGGGGTCGCCCGATTCATAACAGTAGTAAAATGAGTAGCAATGAATTATGGTTGGGGGGGGGTTCACCACAAGATGAGGAACTATATTAAAGGGTTGCGGCATGAGGAAGGTTGAGAACCACTGACATAGAGGAATAGACAAGCTGTTCTCTCCCAGGGGCGAAGGTTCTGGAAGGCCATGTGAAAGCTGCCTGCCAGGGCTTAGAGATGGCTGCTTTAAACTGAACTTGCCCAGCAGGCAGACACCCCTTACCACACCCCGGAGCCTACCGAGAGCTCTGTCCCCACTGCTGCTGGGGGGCTGGTGTTGTCCCTGCTGACCCAGGGAGGCCCTCTCATCTCTCTGCTCATAGTACATAGCCCCCTGGTGCTCCCCCATCAACAGTGGGTATGGAGACAAGCGGCACTCCCCATTGGCTCTCCTGAGGAAAGGTAAGAAGAGCCCTAAGCCAGGTCTAATTCCCAGGTGCTGTCCATAGCTGCAGGTCTTCACACCAGATCCCTGTGGTGGGAAAACAGGTCCAAACCCTGGTGCTGGCACCTGCCCACTAGCCTTTGAGAGACACTACCTGACTAGAAAGAGCTAGTGCTGTGGCCTAGTGGCAGAGAGAGAGAGAGAGAGAGAGAGAGAGAGAGAGAGAGAGACACACACACAGCCCAGTCTCCTCAGGGGCATCATCAGGTCAACACTGCTCTTGATTTCCAAGGAAGAGAGCAAGCACTCTGCTTGGCCCCTCCCTCCCTGCAGTCACCTGCCAGCCAGCTCCTCCTGGGAGCAGGCCACTGCCCACAGGCTCTGTAAGCATGTGGAAACTTGCAGTCGCCGCCACCATGACAATGAATACAAGTTCCCTGACACACAGAGTAGCAGGCCAGAGTAACCGTACAATGACCTACACTGTTGTCAAATAAGTACAGCGTTATTTTCAAATACCGCCCCCTGGACATTTCCTAGGGACGCTCTCACAGTGCGCTCTCTCAGGACTCTGCTGTTGAAACAGCGTTTTCCTGTCGGTGACTTTTGCTCTAGCAACAACGATGACTCTGATAGCACTTCTTACACCTTCTTCTTAGAACCACCTGTCATCTGCTTGACAGACAGGACACAAAGTTTGGAGATTATGTGATGTGCCCCGGCTCAAGGTTGACAGGTTCAAACCTCAGCTCTACCAGTGAATTCGGGTGAGTGGCTCCGCCTGCCCCCTTGGCTTGGCATGACTTGTCAGCCTGTGGGGGGGAGAACCCTAGTACCATGCTTGTGTGATCCAGACTCCTCAGGAACAAAAGTAACCCTGGTTATCTGATGACATCTTTTCCTGTCACCAGCCTTACAAGGTCAATACAGGGTTTCACAAGTCCTGCCCCAGGGCGGCCGCACAGCGTGGGAGGTGGGACAGGAAACTAGAGCTGCTCATGGCTCGAGGTCCCGTACGTTTGACAGGGAAAGGCAATGCAATGGCTGACAGAGCACACTGGTTAATGGAGCAGCCACAAAGTATCTTTGGGAACCCCATAAGAAATCAAACTGCTGCAAAAATCTGGCTAAGGTAGGAGAGGCAGGGAATTACCTGTGACTTCCAGACATTTCTAGAAACGCCACCTCCCTTTCAAAGTCCCTCCCTGTCTCACAAACTCACTGCCCCGCCCCCAAGGCTCTTTTCTAGGCGTTCGGGCTGTTGCTCCGGATTCAAAGCTCTGTATTACAGAGTCCTGCAACCCAGACAAATCCAAAAGGGGAAAACGTGACTTAAGAAGGACTAAGCTCCTCACAAAGAAGAGGGTATTATTAGGGACCTTTGAAATAATAAAAAAATAATCCTTGGGCATTGGGGTGTTTTGAGACTTTTAAAATGATATCGCTAACGGGGATTACAAAAGGCAATCACACAATTACTCACGGTCACGTCAAGGGAAGATGGAGAAGCACAGCATTAGTGGGGCAGGGCGGAAAGAGTGTGATGAGCATGGCCTTCCCCACCCCGCCAAGAGCAACAAGCAGCCCTCAGACCTCTGGCCATAAACAGCTCTGAGGGCCCAGGCGGGAGGATGCCACACTCGTCCCTTGCTGTGGCCACTTCCCGTGCAGCAGAGACACTCCGAGTGCGTGACCCACACGGAAAGTGGAACCACACACGCCCCTTTTACACACACGGAAATGCACCAACTGGTGCCTGAGGGAGGGCGTGGTGAGCTGGTGGTGTCCTCTTACAAAATTCTGACTCCGCACAGAGAGGGGCTCCGGCCAACTTCTCCGCTTCTTCAGCAGAATTCCCTGACTGTGAACCTCCAGAGCTTTCTCCACTGCTCGCACATGAATGTGCAATCGCTCCTTTGGGGAGACTATGCTGAAAATTAGTGTTGCTTAAATACCGTTACCTTTTCTGGTGAAAAAGTCCTTGGAATATTTTCCCAACATAGCGTATTTTCGAGGGCTTTTCCCCAGAAGTTCAATGATCAATGCTATGTGATCTGCATTGGAAAACATTGCCATCACAACAGTTTAATCTGCACCACCCGCAGACACTGCACCGCCCGCGCAGACAGAAACAGCGTGCTGCACGGGGGACTCGGGGCAGAGCTGGGAGCACCAGCTGGCAGGTGCCACTGCACAGGGGCCAGTCCTCAGGGCAACTGCAGGGATGGGCCGAGCAAGTGCTGTTGCCCTGTCAAATTGGAAACCGGCGTGGAATTCTGCTGGGGTGGGTTTGGGAATTTGGAAGAAATGCCTTTGTCACCATTAGCACTACAACCGGCAGCTGCTATCCTGTTTCTGTCTGCATCGTGGCGTTTTTTTCAGAAAGAAGAGGTACTACCTCTGCGATTGAAGAATTCCCGAGAATATTTTCCAGATAGAGCAAAGTGCCTTGGGATACTGCCTAGCAGCTCTATGATGTGGGCTATGTGGTCTATGGAGGAGAGAAAAAGGGTAAGGGAAAGGGAGGGACGGGAAGGATGGGGTAAAAGAAGAGGGGAGAAATTGAAATTAGTAAAAAATCAGAAATTGATTCAAATCAACAATGTCTGCAGTACACGCATGCAGAGGCCCTGGGGCAAGCCGGTCCAGTTTGGTGGACATGGGCTCTCCCCCAGGGCACCCAAGCATCACAAGCAGCAAGCATGGGGATGGCCAGGCAGGAGCATGGCATTCTGGCTGGAATTCATGAGTTTTCAACTCAGCTTCTAAACAAGACAGAGGAATGGGCAGCAGGTAAGTGGACCAAAGGAGCCTGGACAGGTCTCCGGGGTCAAACCGGCAGTGCCCCAGGCTGCTGCTGCTCCCCGGCTGGCCCTGCTCTACCCTCGGGGAGCTGGGTGAACTGCCAGGCCCACAAGGCCGCACGGGGCAGCCCGTTGGGCCCGCTCACCAGGACGAGGGGGCTCCAAGAGCAAAGCAAAGATGCCTGCATGTGGTGTTTGGGAGCCGAGCCCTGCTCTACTTTGGGACAAAAGCTCAGGGTGCACAGGAGCCGGCGAAGGAGGCCTCAGCACGTACCTTCATCTCTGGAATAGTCCTCCCCTGAGTGTGGCTCGAACAAGTAATCTCCCGTTGCCAGCTCGAATGCCTAGGACACAACAGATGACATGCTAAGCACTCCAGAAAACCAACTTCTCCTGCACTTTGTGAGGAGCAGGCTCAAACCAGCTGCCCCGAGGGGGCACAACGCCACTCTTCCTCCTCTCGTCTCTTCCATTAAGTTCAAAAGACGCCACAGAAATGTTTTTCACTTCACCTGTTAGGGCCACATAAGGGCTGTTTTCTCTTCATTTTGCCAGAAGCAAAGCTGAACTCTCGGGGAGTTGGCCAGCACCCAGGCAGGCCTGGTCTAAACCCGGAGCCTGCACTGGAAATGGTTGAGCCAGATTTCAGTCCATTCCAGCCCGGGGCTTGTCTGTACCCCGGAGCTGGCCCTCAAGCAGTGCACTAAGTTGCTCTGCATAGACACCCAGGGCTAGTCCATTTCCTTCCTCCCCGCACCCGCCCTGATGAACCAACCATATCACCTGGCAGCCCCTTGAGGACAGGCCAGGAGGGCAAGCCATCAGTCTGCTCAGCATGTCTGCCAGCAGTCTATTGCCTTTGCTCCTCCAAATCTCTGGACCAAGGGTTTAACTTTGCAACAATTCACACACACACACACACACACACACACACACACACACACACACACACAACTAAACTCTCATTCTGGGGATTAGCACTTGGGGTTCTAAATCAGACTGCCATTATGAATGGCATTGGGGGCCCACCAAGGATTCAGTGACCTCTGACACCCACTGTCCCTTCCTCTCTAGGCCTACCCCCTGCCTTCCAGAACCATCCCCGAGGCAAATGTACCAACCAACGTGCTTTGATGGCTCCAGAGGACAGAGAACTCAAGAACACATTGGGCTTGTGTGAGGGGCCCACCTCGCTTGGCACTGCCATTAGCAAACCAAGAGTGGGCATGGTTGGCTTCGGGCCATTTCCTTTTGCTTGTTTGTTTTGCTTTTCAACAGGAATGCATGTGAACAGCTGAAGGAGGGACGAAGGGAGGCAAGACTCCTGCCACTCAGGACCCCCACGGAAGACAACGGGGGTCACACCAGCCCTGAGCCGTCCAAAGGCTGCCGGAGCACAGAGGGGCCAACAAACCCTGACCGGTCTTTGCTTGGGGCCTCAGCTCCATCCAATAACATGGAACACAGCTGGACCACTTCCGTCAGATCAGGATAGGAGCGCCTCACAGTTGCCCCCATATCCCAGAAGGAACAGCTGCCTCTCCTATGGAACAGCCTGGGAAGCAATCAGTTCAATGGCGTAAGCCCCACAGTGACATCTACAGCATACTAGGGGGGAAGAGGCTTGAGGAGCCCTGTCAGCTGGGGTTCCCTGCCATGCCACCAGGGTTCAGGGAGATGGGAGAGGTCTTGTCATGTCTGATGACACACCCTCCGTCCCGCAGGGGCTGAGCCAGAGGCTGGGGCAAGTGGAAGAGACGGACAACTCAGCCCTACAGGCTGGACAAGAGCACAGCCAGGAGGAGCAAGGCCAGCCAAGACCTGGCACCACGGGGGAGTGAGCACATCGCCCACAGCAGTGCCACACAACGCCACGCCGGGCCAGGAGAAGCCTGTTAACAAAAGGGCCTTTTTCGAAAGCAGCACAGGATGGAAACTCCCTACAAAACCTGAGGCCGGTTTCTTTGGATACGAAGAAGAGGTCAGGGGACACGCCTGCCTCTGTGCCACGGCTTGGTTTGCTGGCTGTATGCTGGCAGCTACACACGAGAGATGAGGCAACACAGTCAGCCACTCCCCACATCCCCTGTATCTGTCATTTCTAACACGTGGCCATGTGGTGCTGGTTCTGAGTGGAGTGTTCTTGTTCCTCTGCACTTGGCCCAATCACTGGAGGGCTTTCCTCTCTGTTCAGGCCCCTGGTAGACCAGGAGCTTCTCTCCTGAAGCACTTTGCAACACTAGAGCGCTCTGATCCTAGGAACTGAAGTGACTTGCTGGTTCCATGATACGAGCAGTTGACGTCTGATGAACCCTGACAGACTGACCTGAACATCCACAAAACGCACTGTTCCCAGGGACCAACGCACACAAATGCAGAAGAGCCAAAGCCTCGGCCCACATGGAATTCTTAGGTCACGTTCCAGAGCTCAAGAAAAAGAAAACCAATTCAACAATGGGACCACTTCTGCTTCCTCCTTCAGCAGCAGGAGCTAAAGTCCAACTCCCCTGGCATAGCCAGGCTCTGTCTGTAAGGTCAACACGCTACACAATTTGGTGCCGTCTATAAGCTAAAAGGACTCTGGACCATACCACTTTATTTTACTACAATCTTTAGTACAGCTTTGTGTTTTTAAGTAGAATTAGATAGAATGCTATATTTGTTCATTTCAACCACAAGGTGGGGAGAGGGGGGAGCATTGCGCTATTTCTATCCAGTTCTCTAGGGTGACACAAGTTATCCATGGCATCCCAGGGTGGGATGGAGGCCAAACTCGTCCTGAAGCATCACCCTCATGACACCTCTCCCGGTGGCCGTAGAAGCCCTGAGGTGCTTTTGCTAAACCCTTGAGAAGTGAGACAGGCTGAAAGCATTTCCTATGGAACCTGTCAGAAATACTGAAGCCACTGTCAACAGCAAGAGGCTGTCACGCAGTTGGCAGGGCAGAGGACTGTGCAGAGGACAACTTGTTACCTAACCGGAGGTGAGACAGGTAACCTGGCAGAAAACGGCTATTCCATGCTTCCTCTGTATCTGTGATCTTGCCCTAGTTTTCTAGTTATATCATCAACATTTAAAACCTAAAATTAGAAGCAGACGGGTGCAGAGCTGAAAAAGTTCTAAGAGTCTAATTCAGGGCCACCCTGATTTACCCCTTTGTGTTGCTGGGGACAAGCGAGGCGGTCTCCCTTTGATGTCCTGAAAGGGCACACTTCTCCCCCACAGTCCCAGCTGTCCTACGTGCTCCCTCACTGCATGGATACCAGGAGTAGGAGGGCTCTGCCTCCCACTGCAGACCAGCATCGCCTCCTTACCCTCTGCGGTCTCACAGGGCAGGTGAGGCAACTCTTCTTCCAACAATCCCACCCCCATCCCCCACCCACCCACCACCCACCCCTGCTGCCAACAATGGTGGCTATTGCCACCATTCTTTTCCATATAAAGCCATTCAAGGGACCTGGGTTTTGATATTCACCAAAAAACTGCTATCAAGCAACTATATCACTGTGATCTGATATTATCTGCCCCCACAGACATCATGCTACAGGTTTGTTGGTTGAATCTGCTATGATAACTTGGAAAACACAAAACAGATGATGATCCCAATTAAAGCAGCCAGTCCACAGAGAGGACCACATGGCCAGCCCCACTATAAGACATGACGCCCCTCACTGACCCATGGCCCTGTGGGGGACAGCACCAGAGACACAGTGT